AGGCCGTCTCATCGTTGTCGGTGATCAGGCCTATCACCGTTGTGTCGTCAGCGAATTTGACGATTACGTTGGAGCTGTGTGTGGCTGCACAGTCATGTGTGTACAGGGAGTACAGGAGTGGGCTGAGGACGCAGCCCTGAGGAGCACCAGTGTTGAGGGTCAGCGGGGATGAAGTATTGTTGCCCATTCTGACCACCTGACTTCTGCCCGTCAGGAAGTCCAGGATCCAGCTGCACAGAGATCTGTTTAGTCCTAGATTCTGGAGCTTCTCAAAAAGTGTGGCAGGCACTATGGTGTTAAATGCTCAGCTGTAGTCCACAAACAGCATTCTCACATAGGTGTTCTTATTTTCCAGGTGGGAGAGAGCAGTGTGTAGGGTGAAAGCAATAGCATCGTCTGTAGAACGGTTGCTACGATATGCAAATTGTAGCGGATCCAGTGAGGCAGGCAGCAATGAGCAGATGTAGTCTCTGACGAGTCTCTCAAAACACTTGCTGAAGATGGGTGTAAGAGCAACGGGCCTCCAGTCATTCAAGCATGTGGAAGATGGGTGTCAGAGCAACAGGCCTCCAGTCATTCAAGCATCTGATTTTATTTTTCTTTGGTATGGGCACAATGGTGGATTTTGGTGTACGTTTCCCTATTAGATTAGCTGAGTTACCACTCGTTACTTGTAGTAGTTAAAGCCCTAAACACTGATATTCAGGTGTATGGATGTATCTTTGGTTTAATCTATTCTAAATGTTTATTTCTTGGTATCAATATTATCTGCTCTTTATTCCTCAAACAATGATGTACAGTATGTGATTGTGAAACGCATCATACGATTTGTACTATATTTTGGGTTAAAACTGCACCAATTCCAGACCGACCATAAAACATGCAAATGGGCCATAAAGCGAGACAAAGGAAACTTCTCCCGCTCAAAAATTCACGCCTGGTATTGGCCAGTCCACCAAGAATAGAAACCTTCAAAAGGCATTAGCCCAAAATAATCTTTGCTCAGAAACCCTCTTCGTTTGAGACAACACTTTTCCAAGACTCTCAAGATTTTCCTCGAGTTTTTATTTTCCGGCAGTTTTTATCTTCAAGTAACTT